AGGTTTGAACCATTGGTATATGTGGCCAGCCCCCTACTCACTGAGCCACAGGAGCCACCAACATATCTTTTTCTTAAAAATAGGGTCTCAAAAAATTGAGGGGGAGTTTATATAACATAAGATTAACCATTGTAGAGTGAACAATTTAGTAGCATTTAGTACATTCATGGTGTTTTACAACTACCACATCTAACTAATTCAAAGTATTTTCATCATCTCAAAAGAAAACCCTATGGTGGCGCCTGTGGCTCAAAGGAGCAGGGCACCGGCCCCATATGCCAGAGGGTTCAAACCCAGCCCCAGCCAAAAACTACAAAAAAAAAACCCTATGCCCATTAAATAGTCCCTCTTATCCTCCCTCCCCACAGCCCCTGGCAGCTACCAATCTGCCTTCTGTCCCTGGCTTTATCTGTTTTGGTCATTTCATGCATGATCTTTTGTGACTGGCTTCTTTTCACTGAGTTTTTTGTTTACAAGCTCACCCAATTTGTAGCATACATGAGTGCTTCATTCCTTTCTATAGCTGAGTGATAGTCCTTTTTTGTTTTTCTTATTTTTTTGAGATGAGGTCTTGTTGTATTGCCTGAGCTAGTGTCCAGTGGTGTTATCATAGCTTATAGTAAATAACCTTAGACTTTTTTTTTAGAGACAGAGTGTCCCTTTATCGCCCTTGGTAGAATACCGTGGTGTCACAGCTCACAGTAACCTCCAACTCCAGGGCTTAGGCGATTCTCTTATCTCAGCCTCCGAGTAGCTGGGACTACAGGTGCCCGCCACAACTCCCAGCTATTTTTTGTTTGTTTGGTTGGTTGGTTTTAGTTTTCTTTTCTGGCTTTTTTTTTGTTACTGTTGCAGTTTGACCAGGGCCGGGCTTGAACCTGCCATCCTCCATATATGGATCCGGCACCCTACCCACTGAGCCACAGACACCGTCCCGACCTCAGGTTTCTGGGCTCAGGCGATCCTCCCACCTCAGCCTCCCAAGTAGCTGGGATTACAGATTCGTGCCACTATGCCTGGCTAATGCTTAAATTTTTGTAAAAATGAGGTCTCAGTATGTTTCCCAGGTTGGACTCAAACTCTTGGCCTCAAACAATCTCAGCCGCCCCCCTCAGCCTCCCAGAGTGGTAGATTACTAGTATGAGCCACCATGCTTAGTCTGAGTAATAGTCCTTTCTGTGGCTAGACTACAGGTTACTTATCCACTTATTCATCCATGAACAGTTGGGTTGTTTCCACTTTTGGTTCTTGTGAATGGTGCTGTGATCACATTTAAGGCTCCCAGGTACTATACTGGCAGCCTTGCCTGAGGGCCAGGTACAGGATCAGGCCTTTCCTAAGCACAGAGAGTTTTGCCACTCCTTGAGATGCTCCCCTTTCTTGGCCTTCTTTGCTATGGACAGCACTTATTACCACATGTGCCAGCCCTGAAATACAACTACCCAACATCCTCTATCTTCATGAAATGTGTTTCATGTGTGAGAATTGGTTTATCAGAATCTGATTCTTCCTGGTTACATAGTTTAATCTACCTCAACTGAAATAAAATTTCTTCTGAGTACAGTGGCTCACTCCTATAATCCTAGCACTCTGGGAGGCTGAGGCCGGTCGATTGCCTGAGCTCAGAAGTTTAAGACCAACCTGAGCAGGAGTGATACCCTGTTTCTAAAAAAAATTAGCTGAGTGTTCTGCAGGCACCTATAGTTCCAGCTACTGAGGAGATTGAGGCAAGAGAATTGTGTGAACCCAAGAGTTTAAGTTTTCTGTGAGCTATGATGCCATGGCACTCAACCCCAGGGTGACTGAGTGAGACTCTGTCTCAAAAATAAATAAATAATAAAATTTCAAGTTAATATCAAAAGCAGCTGGACACAGTTTTTTAGAACTTATTTTCAATTATCTGAAATTATAAAGTAGGCATTTTAAAAGTTTCAGTTGGACAAAGGGACATTGATGTTCAAATTATGGATACTCAAAGCAAGCTTCTCTTTAGAAGCTGAGTAGCTTGTGGACCTGGCTGATACCAGGCATGTTTCTCAGACAGGTGCTGCATTGGCCCTAAGCACCGCCCACCATAAGCTTTCTGGTTTTCTCTTTCCCTAGGCTGACAACATCCCTGATTCCAAAATCTGCTTCTATGACGTTGAAATGGATACAATGACTGTCTTCGACTTCAACACTGGACATATTGATCAGAGAGAGACACTGTCCTTTAAAGAGCAAGAGACTCATAAGTAAGACTATGGTTTGGGAGGATTTTGTTAGAAAATATGTTGAAAACAATATTTCTTTACTCTTTAACTTTTAGGCAATTTGATGCTGTCTTATACATCAACCTTCAAAAGGCCTTAGCAATTAATAGTGGTAAAAATAAAAAGTAAAACAGAAACATGCTTGAGCAGTCAAGATAGGTTTCAGACTTTAGTCTCTCTTCTCCAGATTTAAGGTTCTGGGCCTGGTTCATTGGAAATTTCTGGAAGAAGTGTAGCCAAAGTGCCTATAAAAGTGGCCTTTGAGTCACAGGAGGGAAGATAACACGGGGACCCCAAGAAGGCACTTGTATTTCTAGAAGAAATAATCATCTTTCTTCAGGGAGTTAATGTAACAGATATTTGTAGTTACTTTTGCTACTAAGAACAGATTCCTAGGGCATTAAGTGCTTATGATATTTCACTTGCCATCCATAACTCACTGCAAAATGAGGCACCACAGCAGTGAGCCCTGTGCAGGAGGGCACCGGTGTGAACTGCTGCCCACCCTGGAGAGGCTAGTGCTTGGTGGGTATGCATGCAGCAGAGTATGACAGAGCACAGAAGCATGTGGCAGAAACCTTTAGGCTTGAATCAGCAGCTCTCAAAAGAGCAGAGGAATTTAAAATGTTGGATTTGCTGACTTTTCTTCAGTCTTTTTGTTTTTTAAAACTTGATTACTTTTGCTCGTACTGACGGCACCTCCTTCCAGACACACATGCTCTCTCCAGCTTTCCCCAAATCCTCCATGCCTCTCTACCACACACCTTCCTGTCATATCACTCCTGGAACCTTTGTTCTGCTGCTGACTCCCCACTGCACAGACATGTTTTTACTGCTTACCCCTTCGGAAAAATTGCCATGGACTTTACACCCCACTTTAGACATTTATACCTGTCTCACCCTTACTTGAGTCCCCTTTCTCATCCTGGTGCCACTTTCTTGGCTGCCAGGGTTTCAAACTTCAGAACTAACCTTGTCTTTAATCCCTGCTGCCTGTGACCCCAGTTCTGGTTCTCTTTGTTTTGAAATGTCTAATTCATGCTTTTCTCTCACCTCCACCTGCTGTTGATAGCTTCTATTTCAGAGAGTCACAGGAGCCTCTGAATGACTTCCCAAATGTGAGTCTCACCCACCTTCCATCTGTCCACTCTGCATCCCTTGGCAGGCCAGTCTTGCTTCAAAGGAACCAATTTGTGTTCATGGTACTCTGTGGTCGCTCAGTAAACAACCTTCTCACATCTGCCTTGCTCTCTGCACAGTGCTGGGGCAGGATGTGGCTGTGGAACTCACCGGTGTAGGGGTGCAGGTAGCACCCAGGAGGGATTGTCATGTTTTAGAAGACCGGCTCCTGTTCTACCACACAGCTGCCATAGCCCTGCTGCCTGGCAGCTTCTGCTGCCACTTTCCAGGCCTCTCTCTTCAGGTGCCTCCATTCCTTGCCACCCCATTCGTTTTGTCTCCCTACAGTACTTCCTTGAGCCCATAAAACATGGAATTTTAGAGATTGGAGGGCCTCAGGTAAGGTAGGCAGCCTCACTCGGGGTCATCACTTCCAATCACACAAGCCAGATACTGACCAGCAGGGGGTGCCATCCCATTGTAAAGTCTGCTAGCTAGTCCTGGAAAAGGACAGGAAGAGTCAAAGCACTGTGATTCTGTGTCTGCCTCAAACTAGACTTTACTTGGATTCTTTTTGTTGTTGTTGTTGTTGTTGTTGGGGATTCATTGAGGGTACAGAGAATCAGATTTCACTGATTGCAATTGTTAGGTAAAATCCCTCTTATAATTGTGTCCTACCTCCAAGGGGTGTGTCACACACTGTGACCCTACCTCACCCCCCTCCCTCCTTCCCTCTTTCCATTACCCCTTCCCCCATCTCCCACCATACTAGGTCATCAATTGTCTTCATATCAGAATTGAGGGTGGTGTCTATGGCTCAGTGAGTAGAGCGCAGGCCCCATATACCGAGGGTGGTGGATTTGAACCCAGCCCCGGACAAACTGCAACAAAAAAATAGCCGGGCATTGTGGCAAGCACCTGTAGTCCCAGCTACTTGGGAGGCTGAGGCAAGAGAATCACTGAAGCCCAAGAGTTGGAGGTTGCTGTGAGCTGTGATGCCATGGTACTCTACTGAGGGTGACAAAGTAAGATTCTGTCTCTTAAAAAAAAAAAAAAAGAATTGAGTACATTGGCATCTAGCTTCTGCATTCTTGTGATGCTTTACTAAGAAGAATGTGTTTCAACTCCATCCAAGTTAATACAAAAGATGTGAAGTCTTCATCTTTTTTAGTGGCTGAATAATATTCCATGGTATACATATACCACAGCTTGTTAATCCATTCCTGGATTGGTGGGCTTTTAGGCTGTTTCCGCAGTTTGGCGATTGTAAATTGAGCTGTGATAAACAATCTAGTGCAAATGTCCTTATGATAAAATGATTTTTTTTCTTCTGGGTAGATGCCTGGTAATGGGATTGTAGGATGAAATGGGAGGTCTAGTTTGAGTTCTTTGAAAATTCTCCATACTTCCTTCCAAAAAGGTTGTATTAGTTTACAGTCCTATCAGCAGTGTAAAAGTGTTCCCCTCTCTCCACATCCATGCCAGCATTTGCAGTTTTGAGATTTTGTGATGTGGGCCATTCTCACTAGGGTTAGATGGTATCTCAGGGTGGTTTTGATTTGTGTTTCTCTGAAGTTCTCCTTTTTTGTTGGATCTTTTCCTAGTTATCCTAAGGGTACTTATCCTAAGTATCGGGATGATATTTGCTTCATGGAATGTGTTGGGGAAGATTTTTTCCTTCTTGATTTTTTAGAATAGTTTCTTCAGTATGGGTATAAGCTCTTTGAAGATTTGATAGAATTGTTGTGTGAAGCCATCTAGACCAGAGCATTTTGGGGGGGGAGATTTTTTATTGTTCTTTGATCTCAGTGCTTGAAATTGGTCTTTTCAGGAAATCTATTTCTTCTTGGTTAAGTCTAGGGAGAGAGTGTGATTCCAAGTATTAATCCATTTCCTCCACATTGTCAAATTTCTGGGCATAGAGTTTCTTGTCATAGTTAGAGATAATCTCTTGTATCTCTGTGGCATTTGTTATTTCTCCTTTATCATTTCTGATTGAGGTTACTAAGATTTTACTTTTCTGTTTTTAATCTGGCCAAAGGTTTATCTATTTTATTTGTTTTTTCAAAAAACCAACTTTTTGTTTCATTAATTTTCTGAATGATTCTTTTATTTTCAATTTCATTAATCTCTGTTTTAATTTTGGTTATTTCTTTTCTTCTGCTGGGTTTAGGATTAGATTGTTCTTCTTATTCCAATTCCATAAGATGGTTTGTGAGTTTCTTTTTTTTTTTTTTTTTGAGACAGAGCCTCAAGCT